TCCGTCTCTATTCCATAAGGTTGCATTACCACGTAATAAATTCCTCTTAACAAAATAACTTGCACTACGTATACCAAGATAAGACCTGCCAAGAAGTCGAACTAGAAAATTATCTTTGCAATTAACAAGATTTGAATGAAATTAAAGTAAATAACCCATGTGCAGTAAGTGTTGATACTTCCAAAGTAAAAAATCGTTAATACTTACGGCCTAAATTAAATTGAAGAATTAAAACTGTTTGGAACCTTCATGTTTGAAGTTCCATTTGAATGCCAGTTGACAGTTGGTCAACGACACATCCACGGAGCGAAAAGCGAAATAAACAGCACGTTTAGGCCAATACTATTTCCCGATTTTAATATAGATAACGATTTAATACCTACATTAAATCTAAGTATTCACTTAGAAAAACTTTAACTCGAAGATATTCAAGAAATAAGGGATCGTATAATTATAAACAAGCCAATTACTTCACCTGAAGAACTCTTGAAGAAACCCTCCACGTAGACAATTATGATCTACATTTTGCTTATGATTTCCGGTGGCTACCTGATCTACAGAAACGAAGAAAACGAAGACTTGCAACCAGAGCCATCAGCGCGAGCATCCGCCTGTATAACTACCCTAACGGTATAATTATCTGTAATGGCGAAGGAGTTATGTCATCACCTAAATCTAGGAATTCTGACGCCGGAGACGCTGACGCTGCAACGATGGGCCGCTTTTAATATCGTTATCTATTCATTGTAGTTCAGTTAGTAAGATATTTGTCGGCCATAGAGCACAAACTCTGTCCATCATTTAATAAAAATTTCTTTTTAAAAACGGAGCTGTCGTATCGAATAAATCAACTTATCCTAAATAATTCATTTACCGTTTGACAGTTCAATAAAGATTTACTCTTTGTTGATTGTAGTGCAAATTTTGTCGTTAAAACCAATATTCTAATGTTATTTTAATTAATTTATTTATTATGCATGGACAATGCAACGACATTATATGCAGAAAATTTAAGTAAATTTTTTTAAAGTAATTTGTTTAGTTTGTTAGATGTGATGTGATCTACCAGTTTCGCTATCCGTTCATCTTTTTTTTTTATTTATTAATCATGTGAGCGCCTAGTCTACCAAAACATTGAAAATATAATAACCTTTTTTATGACTTAAACAATGTAGAATCATATTGTGTCGTGCAACGTTGTACGATGTAGATTTTTCACAGACCATATGATAAAATAAAGTTAATGATGACTTCGTCGAAACGAAATGTCGTACTTAAAATCTCTCAGCGCTTGTAGAGCTTAAACAATGGTCACAAAAAAAGTGAAATTTATTTTTTTATATCTCTCTTTTAGTATTCTGAGCAGCACGTTATTAAACTTCGTATCTCTTATGGTCTCCAATATACCCAGGATAGATATGCTTATTTTGGACACAGTGTATAAAAGACTTGAAATTGATTGGAGTCAGAAAGCTATAGTCAAATCGGTTAACTGCCAAAACCGATGGTTTACACAACACTGGGCCTAAGAAAACTAATCACTTTACCCGAAACATCGCATATTTAAATATTGATGATTTTAAACACAATTACGGTACATAAAATTAAACGTAAATTTAACTTTATTATATACAGAAAACGATCCAATTAGTTGGAACGTTTTATGATTTATTCGTTGTTTTTTTTTTACACGTACTTACGGCACACTTCGTAAACCTTTTATTATGTCGGTCGTGTTGCTCTTGTATGAGTCACTGATTAATAAAGCATTGGCGGTACGTTGCTATAGGTATTCACTCTTATGAATAGGATTCTTTCACAAACTAAATAGAAAATGTGCTTCCCAAATTTTCGATTAATTTGTATAAAATGCGAGCAGCTCAAGGATAACGGTCTTTAAAATACGGTCGTACCCAAACATTTCATGACAAAGGCCATCGAGCAATTTAGTGTTCGTAATTTTTGGGTGCAGAAGTCATTACCATACATTATTACTGTTATATTACTACCCGTTAAATACGCACAAACACGAATTTAAGTATTTATTATTAAAATTAGATTTACATACATTAGTCACTAATCAATTACAAATTTTATTTTTTGCGATTTTCTGGAATGAAGTCTAATAGTGCAGTCGCGCTGAATCAGTAGAGACTATCACATCATAACCATAATTTCATGTCCTGATGGAATTTTTCACCTTGTTCTTTAAAATTGTCACCAAGTTGTCTGGAATTATCTGCAAGGCGTGGCAGTGAAGGCAGTAAACTTTTATGCTCACGTTACAACCGAAAATATTAATCTTTGACAGCATACTTTCCATCGAAAGTTGCTATCCCAAATATCCTTGTTATTTGTGCCTTTGAGACAGCAGAGAAAAACAAACCGTGATCAGATTTAGAAAAGTTATTTACTTTAGAAGTTAAATAAATAAAAGAAGACTATTATTTTCATAATTATTAGTATATGCTAGTAACACCAGATTTAACACAATCATAAGATTTTACAGATTTCACGGATTTTTGTAAAATTAAAAAAAAAAACTATTAAAAATCAAAAAATATGGGTTTCGAAGTTTATTTTTCTAACCATTTTTAAAAACAAAAGTGCACCACAAAAAAATTCGTTACAAGTTTCAGTGAAAGTTTCGAAGTAACGCTGAAGAACTATTGAGGGTCAATTCCTCTGATTCAGAATGTTCTGTAGACGAAATTTCGTCCAACACTGTATCTTCGTGTTCTTATTATGCTCTTTCGCATTGGTTCCTGGTCATCGCAAGTAGCTAAAAGCAATTACTAATCATTACTAAATTTTTTACAACATTCAATTCACCAAAGGAGGATTTCTTGCTAATTGCGAAATTACCATCGATTTTGATGACTAAAAATTTGAATCGTCGTTTACATTTTCTCTAATTTTTTGCGATTAGATTTGAAATTCATATCTTGCTCTTCTGTTGTTATATTAATTTCTATCTCTACTATATCATCTGGTTTTAAAATTAATGCAATATTTAAATCGCAATTGCCCTACGTATTCAATTTTACTGAAAACCTTCAGACAATATACTATATTCCTAATATTAATTTTATAGCGGGTTAAGCAGGAATATAGGAAGGGACTCAACTTCCAAGTATTGCTAATTGCTAATTTGAATCTGATTCTAAGTGGGAAATCTATATTTTTACCATTAATTATTTATTTGTTTCATTATTTTTGTCATTCATTATAACTAATACCAATTAAGCTCTGAAGAAGCCAAAAGCCAAACCTAAACGTTAGCAAGTTCGACTTTAAAAATCAGCAATGAATTTTGAATTATCCATTTTGGAACCAAATTGGAAAACGCTTATGCCACAAAATCATTAACATTTCTTATACCCAAATAAATATGTGTCTTCCCATATTTGTAGAAAATAAATTAGAGAATACCCAACTTTTGACATTTTATCATATTCTAATTGATTAAGTGCTTTAAGAGATTGGAACGCAGCCACTTTTTCAATACCAGTCTCAAAATCGGGATAATGTAATGCTTGGTCTGGCGTTGAATAAAACCAATTATGGAGTGAGAAACAATATTTACTTAATACTTTCTTGTCAGAAAAATTGCTCACGGCTTTACTGTTTACAACATTATTATCGCTAATAACGAAAAATAATTTTACCTCTAGCTTAGCAATAACTGTGTTAATTAATGAAAATACTAGAAGGTGCTCAATTTTATCGGTTGGACTTGTATGTACGACTTCTTTTACCCTGGACATAACGCTGGACAATATAAATACAAAATCGGAATTTGCTAAACAAAATTTAATATAAACAGTTCCAGTTTTATAATATAGAAATTGTTTAATGTGAATTTTGTCCTTTAATAACATCGCATATTTTTATGCTCCGACAATAATTTAAAAACGTAGTCAGGCGTATATGTAAAGAGGCTAAGAGCTTTGAAGCTCTATCACATTTTTTGGCTTCAATGTTTAAAGGTTTTTTTCTCTGTTAAATAAGGAAATTTTTAACTACATTAGATATTAATGTTGTCTTTAAATCAAGTCTTTTATAAATTAAAACCATTTTATATTTCGGAGCCAAGCAAGACACTGTACAAAAGAATGATTTTTGATAATTTTCAAACGCTGCTTCACTTTTTTAATCCCTTTTGCAAAATTTTGATTTTCCACTTCCGGCCATTTTGCATGACGGCTTTGGTGCAATGTTAGATCAATAAGATGTATACTTGCGAAATTGAGTAGGTATGACTTCTCGTTTTCTGTAGAACTTATGAAATACCCTTTGACAAAATGTAATTCACCTACTCTACTACATTTGTATGGAGCAAAACTTCCTGTTGCATAGCCCTTACCCACGCCTTGGAGGTAGCTTCCGTTGAAAAACGAAACGCCTTTATTTTCAGTTCATTATCAGTTATCCGCAACACCTGTCAAACTCACCGCAAAACAATAATATTACAACAATTCTTAATTAAAAATTAATCTCTGTCGTCTGCCGCAAAACAAATTTGTTTGTCGCGCCACCTGTCGCCAGGAGGCAATACCTCGCTGTGTCTACGTCATGCACAGTACCGAGTCTTTGACCAGCCACTATATGTTTAACCGTTGGACAAAGTTGCCGTTGAGTTTCTACATTTCTGCAAATAACGAACTAAGTTATCCTAAAAAGAGTCGTGGGTTTTTCTTTTTCCTTTATTGTTTAAGACTGCATGTCAAAAACAATCCACGCAAGTCATTATATATATTTAAGTTGTGACAGGTTGTGTCTGGCAAATTAGGCATATTTGTCTAATAACTTACTTATTAACTCAACAAATAAAACTAAATTAAATTATTTTCGCAAGGCATGGAATCGAATGACTCACAGAATATTGCGGCTAGTTTTGGTTAGTATTTTGGGCGAACTGTTTCCGTTACCTAGTCCACTGTTTTTACATTGGGTAGAAGCAAGTTTTTCCAATTGTAATAAAAAAAGTGCAGGTTAGTGTTCGAAATTCAAGAGCAAGCGTGCAAGAAATTATTTCCTTACGGCTCCATATTTTAATAACTATATTGTTTGAACCCTTTTAAAAATAGAAAATCTAAGAGCAAAAGATGGTTATTAAATCGTTACGACGTGCTTGATAGCGAATGGACAGGAATTATAAAACCCCTGAATTATTTTTAAAGCTACGCCACTGCTCAAACTTTTAAACATACGGAGCGGAACGGCTTGGCGTGGCTGGCGGAAGCAAACCAAAACAGGCAATCGGGCGCAGAGAGAGGTTCCATTTAACCATAGCCTATGGGTTTTTATAGACAGTTGACGTAAACAAACGAGGCTTCTTTGTTGTGAACTGGTAAAATCGCAACTGGTTTTATTTCTTAAATAAATAAATAAGAACAGAAAACGAGAGTGTGTTCGTACCGCAATGCCGTTTTAATACTGGAAAAATCGATCGCCGCGAATAAATGTGAGTACTCACTCAAAAACTCGAAAATCCAGCTTCCTTCTGTGGAAGATAATCGTACAAGGCCAACGAGATCATTAGTGAAGCTAAAGAAAGATTTTATTTTGAATATTTGTATGGAAGTTTACATGTTGTAACCTCACTTTTTCCAATTGTATTTTTAGAATTCGTAAGTTAAAGATGTCGGGCGCCGTTTATCAACCCACGACCGTCACGTACGAGTCGAATGGCCCCAGGGACCGGTGGCAAGACAGACCCATCAGTTACTTGGCATCCACCGTTTCGCAGACTGCCAGGAGACCCTGCGGAATATCCTGCTTACCATCGAGAAATGTTCTTCCTCTGGTGCTCATAACTTCCTGTGTGGCTTGCTTTTGTTTGGGATTGGTCATGTTAATTCAGGGAGCGTTGGGATACTCGGAAACGCCAGAAAACAAGGAAGATTTATACCTAATCATAACCATATTTGGGGCTTTGTTCTTTGCCTTGTCGATTCTTCTGTTCAGTGAGTACAATTTTTAAGTAACGGGTTGGTAGGGGATACTTTTCGATGAGGTAACATAAATTTGTACTTGTTTTGGGGGAGTAATATATACAATACTTTTGAATTCCACATTCTATCATTTAGCATAGGTTTACAATAATAATAATAATAGGTTTACAATAAAATGTGCCTGAATTCTAAATGATTTTCTGAGGAGAAAAACAATAATTTTCCTGCAGAAATATATCATTTCTATTTTACCATGAAATTTTAATGACTAGTCAAAATCAGTTACATTAAAATTGCTTTTTGCTTTCAATTTCCAATTGGTATAAAAATGCATTTTTTTTGCAGAAACATAAATATCTGTTTTTAGAATTTTAAAAGCAGTTCTCTATATGTAATCACATTTAATTTATCTTATACATGTATTTCTGCAAAGAAAATGTATTACAGATATGCCTGTGCTAGAAATATTTATTATTGTTAATGAATTGTTTTTTTTGCAAAAAACTTTCCTATCATTTGCATTTTTTGTCCCTATGTTTTGGTTAGTATCGGTTTTAATTTTGGTGATTTTAAAGTCCAGAAAATGGCGTATTTTTTATATGTTTGTAAAGGCAAAAATATTTTTTTATGTGCTGGGTACTTCGAGTTATACAGGGTGATGTAAGAGGAGGTGGCCTATCACTATCACTAAATAATAATTTCCTAGATTTTTAAACAATTTGGACCCTTGATGAAATCTTAATAGTTCTGTGGTTCAATTAAATAGAAAGTTGTATGTTTCCAAATTGTGCTTGGAGTTTTTTGATATAGCATACCCGATATATTCTTTCATGTCCGAATTCTAGGAAAGAAACTAATCCTACCTGTCTTACCTTTCGTGAAATAAAAATAAATATAATGAAAAGTTTGGTTAAATGATTTTTTCTTCCAAAAGTGATAAATACCATTCTATTAACTAATTAAAAAGGTTCATAAATTCCACATATCACTGAAAAGTCAATCGTCAAATCTTTTCAGACAATTTTTAAATATATATATAATACAATCTTTACAGGAATGAGGTACTACCAGTTATAAATTAGGGCGCAAGGTAATATAAAAAACATGTTAAAAAAAAGCCTGTCCCCAGCTCTGTGCAGCACTCTTTTCAAATATTACTTCTGCTAAGTAGCTAGGTTCTTTCGATTTTAAGATTTTATCCACCTGACACCCTATATAAAAATATAGTCTCGGATTCTTATAATAATAATCTTTATTTCCTATTTTTTTAAAATAATAATAATAATAATCTTTATTTCTTAACAGATTAACATCCACTTAGAAGACAATTTGATCCTAAAAACTATAACTATAATAAGTAGTCAACTATATTCACTCCATCAAAGTAATAGTGAAACATACAATCCATTATAATATTTCAAATTTACGTTTAATGTGGTAAACTCTGAGTGACTAAGACAAAAATTGTCAATATCATTACAGAAGTCATTAAATAATTTCATCAACTGATAAAGAACACCTTTAATAAAAAAAAGGTTTTTGGTGTTACTAGATGAAATACAGGTTTTACCCTTATAGTCCTTGAAGCAAGAGGCTCAGCTGGCTCAGCAACTTAGGGCAATCCACTAATAAATTGCAAAGTTTATATAAAAACTGAAATGAAAGATACCTCCTACAATTCACCAGTGAGGGAACCTTAAACATAATAAGTAATAAGTCTCTCACTGGCACTCCTTTAGCCGCTTAGAAACGTGAAGAAATTTCAGTAACTTTCTCTGTAAGTTTTCAATTTGAGTGATATACTTACCAAATATTGGTTGCCACACCGTTGAACCGTACTCGTTTCGAGTTTCGAGCGCACATAACTATAGTATAAAAGCTTTAAAGTATGTTCTCTTGCAAAATCCCAGCATTTGGAGTGCACTTCCACAGTTTTGCGTCAAATGTTACACTCAGGTCTTTAAAATTGTCATATTTTCTTAACAATATGTTATCCAGATTGTGTGTTTAGGGGTAGGTTATTAGAAGCGTACCAAGAAACAATCATCCAAAAATTTTCTATGCCATGATGACATAGATAGTAGATTCTTCACATAGTGAACACAAGCATTCTGCACCGTCTGTATTCTGTATTTATTAAAATTTTTTGTTGTCAGAAGAGGATCATATACAATATAAAGATATAAAGATAAGCATATGTAGAGAGTACCAAACACGTAATTTTCTATCTATGTGCTGGATGGCCAGATAAGAATGCAAAGTGACGTAAGTCAAACACCCAAAGAAAAGCATGCAAAATGTTTTTAGATTTCTAAGACTGTCGGCAGAGAGCGTAGTAGCCATCTCAAACTTCAAAATAACTTCACTTAATGTACCAAAAAAATATATATTTTTTTAAAACTAAGTTGTATTCAAATAATTTTTGTTTATCACTTTTTGACGTATCTATCAAAATAAAGTGGTGGGAAGAATGTTTTTTTTTTTAAATAAACAGCTGTAACTCCAAAACGACTGAACGGTTTTTGACAAACTTGGTCCCTTTATAAAGACTTTTATTGCTCTATCAAACACATCTTATTTGTAATATGTCTGTGCGTTCTTTGATATTACAGAAAATTGTAAGAATCTATAAAAATTTAAATACAATAGTGTGACTTTTTCAATAAAAATGTAGTATACTTGGCATCAATGTTCTCGCACATTTCTTGAAAATGCGGGGCAACCATCTAGTTGCAAAAACATATTTCCCATAAATGATTTTTTAAGGAGAAAAACAATATTTTTCCTGCAGAAATATGTAAATATGTAAATAGTAAATTAGGCAATTAGTCTACTAGAAAATCGTGAAGCACCTCACCATTTAGTACTTGATTAAAGAAATAGGGACCTATAATAGTTTCACCCAGGCTGGCACAGCTTACATTGATACTCCAATGACCGCTATGTTGGAGCGAGGATTGTTGTGGGTCCAATAATGCAGCTTAACCTTTCTATCACTTCTAAAAGTAGTCTCATATGTCTGAAGAATTTCCGCTAAATCTGTCGTTTTGGAGTTACAGCTGTTTATTTAAGGAAAGGGTTGAATCACTTCCCACCACTTTATTTTGATAGATACGTAAAAAAGGGTTAAATAAAAATTATTCGAATAAAAATTAGCTTTTAAAAACATATATTTTTTTGTTACACTCAGTGAAAAATTACTTTTAAAGTTACAGCCCTTTGCATTCATGTCTGATGACCCTGTAAATCTTTGACTTCGTCATATCATACGAGATTAACGTTGTTTAGACCAATATTAATCGAATGAGGACTGGTCTATATCAATTTTTGAAAACAAAGTAGCACTCGTTTTGGCGGAATATTTGGAAATCCAGGCAATTAATTGTTGTGAGAAGGTGCTGTACATATTGGGCGTCGGGTTATCTGCAAACATATTTCGTTATATTGGACGAGATTAGGTTAAGAGACCGTAAAAAAGAGCGGTCCGGAGAGAAGTTCGTGGAACACCCCTCGTCGCAGCAGACCTCGCGGCTGTTGACTCAAGAAATTTTGTTTGTCATATTGAGTCAGTGGGAATCATTTTCCAGTGTTTTTCCTGCGTTTGACGAGACGCATGTGCTGGAGGAACGTAAAAGATCATATCGGGGCGTCAGGCAGTCAAGCTCTAACGGTGAATCCATCTACCGATCTGCTGGTCGCTGCTCAGTATGCTCCCGTATCAGAAGTGGCATATGAGCCTGCCAAAGCTGAAGATACCGAACAGAGCAAATTGATGCCACAGGAAAATAAAGACATAAAGTAAGTAAATGGGAGTTTTTATCAAGAAGCGTAATTAATTGGAGTTTTAGTAACGAAGACCCGGACCGTATGGTCGAAAATGATCCGAGGATCGTGCTACGCCCCCTAAAGGCACCAATGAGCGAAGAGACTTAGGTAAACACGAAAAAGGAGTGTTATTTTGTCGAGGGAGATTATTTGATAGTGACATTTATCGAGGACGTACTTAGCGGCAAACTCAGTTTATTTGCCGCCTCTAGGTTAGTTTTTAGTGATTGCGACATTTTCTAGCTGCGTAAAATAGCTTCATATTTTATTAATTAGTGCAATTCTTACGCAAACACGTAAGTCCATTTGGGCTCTACATATTTGGTGACTAAAATTGGCGAATTAATTATTGAACAATTAATGACGATTTTATATGTATGGTTATATGGTTAGTGCTACAACAAAACGCAACAAACATTGAGGTACAGTTTTATCAATAGTTATTTTGGTATTAAAATACAATACCTGCAATACAAATTTACTCCAACAATTTGGTTAACATACTGCAAAAGCGATTGTACCATTATTTGGACGAGAGATATTTTAGGAAAATGTCAATATAGTCCGAATTTGAAACTGTAAAAATTGGTTGCGTGTCCGTCTTTGGAATGGTACAAGTATTATCTTCCATATGTCACGGAATCTCATTTTAGTTTAGTGACTTTGGTAATATAAAAACATCATACCTTGTATTCTTTAGGATGACCTTCCACTGATATTTTTTGAAATAATGGAATAAGCTTATTCATTTTATTATTAAAATCTACGTTTTCTTTATTTAACATTAGGTATTGATTTCAACGTAGAAATTTTACTCCATGACGTGGACATGCATTTTCATATTTGTGCTTGGATTTCTCTTATAAAAGATAAGAGCTTACTTAATTGGTGCCATTTATCAAATCAGATGGGGTACTGTACAGGCAGCGATTACTTGATTTGAAAGAATTCATTTTAAACGAGGTACATTTTTTTGTTTACCTCGAATATCTTTTCACGTGAATACTGCATATGCATAAATAACTTACTTAAATTCGCACCAAATTTTTTGTGTTCTTAATAGTAGTGCGAAAAGCAAATGACTTACGTGTATGCGTTACGTCGCAGATAATCAGTAAAGTCACATGCCACTGAATTATATGGGAAACTGACGCACCACACTTGGCTGTCAAAAGTGCCACCGCCATACAGCAGATGGCGTTTGAACATGATATAGTTTTTGATATAGATTTTTTTAGATGAAACATGATAAATAGCTCTGACAAATTTTCAAATTTTAACTTTGACGTACATCGTGGAACAAGTTCTTCTCTACTACTTCATGATGTCTGATAAGGAGAAATGCAATGAATTATGTATATTTATCAATCACGTTTGTTACACGGTGTAAATTAGGTAAATACGTGTTTTAAACTATATTTTTAAGCTACTGGACAAAATAAACATAACATATGCGTTTCCAAAAATTTTACTGCCGCATAGGCGTATGGGGTGGTCGGAATTGTAGTCTAGAAACTTTAAAAGCATATTCAGCCAATAAAAATATTTCGAAAAAATCGTTTGTTTTTAAACTTGGTAGGTATTATTTCCCCTTAAAAAAAGTTTTTGTTTGACCAGTGCCGTTCGTGAGACCCTTTTAATTGTTTTATATAATTTTAAATATAGTGGTATGCTAGCTAGGTGCTCATGAAAATATTTTTTTTTCTCGAAAACATTCGTTACAGCAGAAAAACTGAAGAGAACATTTTTGTTTTGAATTGAGCACTGTGTCACTTTTCTTATTATTTAAATTAATGGAAACGGCCTCGCGAACGCCACTAATTACACAAAAACAAGTTTATCTGTGCAATTTTTCTTAAGTGGCAATAATACATACCAAGTTTGGAAGCTGAAAGTTTTTTAAAAAGTAATGAAAAACATTTTCTTTTCGCAATATTTGTTGAATGCTTCATTTTGGTGGCAGGATAATTTGAACCATTTTATACTCCCATTGCAAAATAATATTTCTGTAAAAAATTACAATACATTCCAGGAATATACATCTGTCCATTATAATTATCCACGGAATATTCCATATACATTCAAGACTGACTAAAATGCCCTGGATCATTCATATGTAGGCGCCAAGAACATTCCCTAGCATATTTTACTAATGGAAAAAGCCATACCCCAAATATACACAATATTCCTATTTTCAACTATTAGGGACCAAGAAGAAATTGCGTGTTGATATACTTTACTAGGCATTGCAGAACCCAAGAACAACATTGCAAAGAAATATTTTTATGCTAAGAGATGATCTTGAGTTGAAATTGCACTGTGTCAAACTTTGTAATGAGGTGAGCTCACCTGTCAAACTTTTCGTGAGAAGATATTTATAAACTTCTTTTATTTGACGAATATTCTGAAACAAAATTTCAGTATCGATAGCTTGTAACTATCTATCTATCAACACCTATACTGTCATTTACTTCGCTATTTAATCCATTATTCCAGATTCTTGTTATTGTGTTCCCACTATCAAGTTGTTATTTAATTTTTTTTTATCGACAAATCTTAGCAGCCAACCAATTGCTGATATGTTTATGATGCGTTAAACTAAAAAAAAGGAATGTTGCTTATGTTAACTGCAAACCATTTTTATTTTTTTTTTTAATGTTAATTACGCCCGAAGTTACGGTTATGTCAAAAATATAACAATTTTTTTATACGTAAATAGACGCATTTATAAAAAAAAACCTTCTGCATGTATACAGTGTAATCATTAAAATAGAGCTATTTCAATATATTTTGTGACGAATAAACTTTTAGTATGGCATTTGTAATAAAAACAAATTTTATTGCAAACATCCAGTTAGTAACGGAAAAAGTTAATAACAATTCCAACGTACGATTTATGTTATTAAAATATTGAACAAGTGAATAATTAAAACTACAAAAAATATCTGGCCACATAGAACCTATCAAGAAACAAACATTATAGAACATCAACAAATATCCTTTAACAAAATTCGACTGGTATTGCTTCCCATTGTGCTTTAATTATTTCCCAAAAGTTTTTGGTTATTTTTTGCCCCTGCATTTTTAGTCCAAAGATTCTGAACTGCAAATTTTCACAAAAAAACTGTTTTGCTTTTCTAGAAGTATGTTTTGGAACATTGTCCTGTTATATTTCTATATTAAGGACATTTTATCCTCTACCAACGCTAACATGATACATACATACATACATACATACATACATACATACTCATTTTGATCAGTTAAGTTTTTTATCGAGTAATTTCTATCTAAATTTATCTTATCTTTCACACATATTGCCTGGCATCAGGACCTACTAAATTTCTTTTTGTTTCATTGCTCTATGGTATATTAATTCCCATTTCACCATTAAACGATGTTTAATGTTCTTTGAAGATAATAGAGGAATTTTTCTTACTGCTCTACCGTGCAGATTACTTGGCTGAAGCCTTTTCGGAACATTTCTAATGCCAGCGGTAGATGACTTAAATGGGTTTTTAGAAGTTCCAATAATCCATGTGTTTTTTTCTTGCTCCACGGTTTTCATGTACCGGTCGCCTTTTGAATGCATTTGCCATCATTTTTTAGAAGGATGGTCTTATAAACCCAGAAACTCACCAAAATGTTTTCAAATAAATATAAAGCGAACTTTTATTGAAAGTTTAAACTGGCTCTATTTCTTTCAACTTTGTACCGAAAAATATGCACATACTGTAGACTAATGTGGACTAGTAAAAAATCCGGATTATCGAAGTTTATATTTTTATCCAACTTATCGAATCTCTACCGTATATCAGTGAATGTTGGAACGAAGATCAAATAATCCACATCCACAAGCGTTACTTTGCGGTTGGGGTCCCAACAAAGTCCGGTTGTCTGAAAACGTCTTCGCATGGACTAACGTTTAAAGTTTCTCATTTAATTTCCGGTGGTACGTGACTAAAGTGAAAAAAGCTTCCGCTCGGTCGCCAGTGATACGAATCTCTTTTCTCAAATCACCAAATGTCAATTTAGGTGTCGTAGAACGAACATAATCGCTCTTGTATTTTCCGCGCTTTGTAAGGTTCTTCTAGAGGAGATCGCCCTGTGGAAGACCAACTCTCGTACAAAATCATGTATATTAATGTAAGTTTGAAAGGGAACTATTTTCTTATGTAATTACGACGGGATCGTAGTTATATTAAGTAGCCGACGAATAGATGCAGAAATATTTTTTTATTAAGTGAATTTTGTTGCGTAACAGTAACGGAGAAGCGTGTTCGGAGGGTTGCGTTTCGAGTGACAATGAATTTGGTTTACTCTGTAAAAGTCAGAAAGTTATCCAAAAACATATAAAGAGTTCGGTGAGTTAGAGAAAGAAAGTTAAAGAACAACAAAAAATATGTTGTTTTTATATGGAAAAATGTAGTAACAATTTAACAAATGTGGCGACCTCTATTTTGAAAATACTTACAGTCTTTGCAGCGTTGCCACATTTACTCGAATCAGACACCAGCTTCATGTTTTTAAATAGAAAGCCCGGTGTGTTATTACGTTTTTAGATTCTTTGAAAATTCTGAAACTTTTTGTGTCTCATGTTTTTGAGATAAAATTATTGTTTAGAAAATTTTGGAAAAATCATTAATCATCACAATAATTAAATATCGGAAAGTTTACAAATATTATGACATTGGATTTAAGATATCATCGCATACAGGATATGTGCACAATGAATTATGCACATTTTGCAATATGTCAATCAATTTTGATCTAAAAGTTTTATAGGGTACCATATTTATTCTGAACCATTTCTAAATTAACTTAAAAAACGAGAATAATGCTATTTAAGCCATTATAACTCTTTTAGTAGTGATCCAAACACATTAAACCGAAGGCGAATCGATCATAAATTTTCAGGAATAATTAAAACTGTTAACTCGGCAACATTGTATGGTCTCCGGTGTAAACGAAAGGTTTGCCAAACATGGGCGTTGGTACTATATTTTTAAAAATACATACACCACCCATATTTTTCAGTGATAAAAATTAGATTTCTTTCAATCACAATTTTTTTTAACATTAAAGACAGAACCTGTCAGCCGAATGGTTAAAAAAAAACGTTTAATGCTAATGTTTTAAAATGCGCCCGATTAAAGTCGATGATTGTAACTAAATACAGTTTTAGCCTTTTTGCAGACATCCCTGACTAAATTGATTGCGTGCTACAATTGCATATTTAATTTATTTATTATAATATACCTGTTTCTTAACTTTCTTGGTAATTTTGTTGAATTTTTTTCTATTGTTACTTCAACATTCCTCCATTGCATGTCAAATACATTCTAGAGAAAATCGGCATTTCCGACACATATTGTAAGGAAAACGGCACCAAAATTGCAGATATTGGCTTAAACCTTCATTTTCTGTTCCGAATTGAAAAAAGTTATGGTAGACTAAGACAAATTGTCACTTTTCTATAATTATTGCCGTTAACATAAACTGTCTTGTTATTCTTGCGAAGTGGGCCTATTGGTCCAGTGTCTAGTGAAGATTTTAGGACATCCCTTCTTTTATCAACATTTCTCGGAAATCTAAAAGAGCAAGATTACCAAACTGCAAAAGCACTTTACTGAGATGTTCAGAATAAGTTAAATAAGACCTGTTTAATTGGTATATAAAGATATTCGTATAATATTGATGTTAAAATCGTAAATGAAACTGCCGCCTGCACAAGAAGATATTTGCCAACAATAAGATTTGCTTATTATTATCATTATTACTTTTTTGGTTTCATATTAAGTAGAAATACATCTTTTTTTCTACTCTCTTCTCTTAAATACTAAATTGTATATTCAGTTAAGGTATTACTTTGAAATGTTCAATCAATTTTATAAACACCCTGTATGCTTTTAAATTTCATTTGATAATATGATGATACAGCAGCCTATTGGCAAGAAATGTTTATTAAATAACTAATTATTTTCCTCGTAAATTATTTTGGCAAATTTTCTAAAAAGTAATTGTTGTCTCCAAACAAGCTGCTGCATAGAAAGTTTCAGAATTATTAATGTAATTTAAAATGTTTATAATATACAGATGCCCTGTATAAAGAAAGTTGAACGGCTTTCTTTTGTTCAACCTTGTATAATTTTGCACGGATCGGTACTTAATTAATATATAAAAAAAAAACGGAACTTTCCAAGTTGCAATATCTTAAACACTATAAATATTTAACTATACAAATGATAAGTAACAGTTTGAAACTGTTTTTTAACATTTTATGTTTATTTTATGTTATTTTAAAATAATTGACCTGTATCCTCTGATACTCACAAGATTGAAACTTAAGAATAATAAAAGGGAAAGTTCTGGAAAAACTTAATTTTTTCGGGCTACAGGTTGCAAATCTCCATTTCATGAGTTCCAAAAACAGTTTCATAGTCACTTAATTTTAGTTGTGCATAACATTTTGCGAATATTTGCACGCCTGTTGTTGTTCCGTTGATATTCTTAGACTGACGCTTTTTATACTTGTAACGGTTGTTTAAGTATTTCATGCTTTTATTATTTGATTACGTTAAGGCATTCCATTAAACAACGCCGTAGTGGCGACTTAAAAAATCGCCCATTAGATTTAGAGGAGATAAAGATAAGTCTGTTGCTATTTGAGATTAATTTTAGTGCAATACCGTGAGGAATTTTTATAGTTTTGAAATTTTAACATATCATATTTTGAAAAATCCTTTGCAAATTTTAAAGGTTGTTTTCGGCACAGTTTTAGAGACTATTAGTAGGATCGTAGGCACAATTTCATTTTAATAAAAATTGGACACTTTTTCTATATTGTTATTATTGTATTTTTCTAATACGATAACATTTTGTATTCTTGTATGTTTCAAATTTAGTGCAATTAAACAGTTAACGCAGTTTAACAATGTTTGATTTATCAAAACATTAGCCAGGAGATGGTCTGCACCAAGTTTCATTTACGAATAAAGGTTTTATGACTATTCCCACATGCACAATACAATTTTCATAGCGATGAATACCCAAGGCGCATGTGTGAATCATCACAAGATTTTCTTCTTCCTTGCTCGGTACATAATGTATGGTAATTTATATCACTAAGAAAGCTACATAAAGCCTTTGCAGTAGTAAATCAAGAGGTAAGGAAATAACCGAGGGGACATGGGCATTAAATAGGTCTCTCTCTATAAAGGGATTAGGAGTAATTCTATTAGTTCCATTGTTAGATGCCCTCAGATTAACCCGGTAAATATGGGCCTAGTAGTAGCAGTGGTTGCTCCTTAGTCTACACACCTTAGTTATTTCGTTTCTGGCAAGATTCAACCCACGAAACCAGCGTTTAACCGGAAGGCCCTAATTAAAGCTACTATAGATTCTTTCGTTGCAAGAACCCACAGAAAAATTCAGTAAAATGTGATCCATTTCCCTAACCAGATTGCCCACACTATATCGCAGAACCTCTCTAAGCGTTATGGTCAAGGAAAATAGTTAGATAAGCCTTGAGGGCTGAAACAGTTAGAATGGTCGTTAATGAAAAGAAAAGTTTCTTTTATTTAGAATATTTAGAATTATTTCCAAAGTTTCCAGAATTGAGGAAAAATGCTTCCGGCTCTCCAAAAAGAATGGAACCGGTGGAATATCTCGAAAACTACACAACTAATCAATAAACAAAAAAAAATCCTTCAAACATTGAATAAAAAAACTATTCAATAATACGAAACATGAACCTCAAACTCAACCCACCGGTGGTAGGGAAAGGATATTATTACAGATTCGGACTCTATACCACAAAAATGTTAGGTTTTGTCTTAAGCCAAGTGTTAAGTTTTTCTGACTCTCGGTAGATGGCGCTGTAATCGTACTTGTCACCGGTCAATAGGGGCTATACACTAAGTACATTGATTGTAATGTCAATATTGAAATTATTTCAATAAATATTAACTTAAACCAACTTATTGGAAAAACTTAGTGTGCTGTAGTGAGTTTTGACTTGAAAAAAGAAAGTTGAAATTAACGTCAAGTTTTTACTTACTGTTGGGGTGTGTCATCACTATCCTGGAAAGCTGGGATTAATATTTAAGTTTAAAATGTTTGCCTACTATTTGAACATTTAAACTGGAGATTTCAGGGTTTGCAGTATTTGGAACAATTATACAATCAATAATACACTCTATTATACCAGTAAAAACAGCTATTTCCATAAATCTATACATGTATAAATAAATAATATTTTATTTGCAGTTGTTTAACTCACAATTGCTTGTCTTTTCTTTATCTGTTTCGGGAACCTTTACTATATGACCAAGATCTGGTCCGTCACTTTTGACAAACAGCGGCTGATCGAAGTCTGACGCCTGCTGGTTAAAAAGTCTTTTCTTTGGTTACAGTTTTCGGAATAGTCTTTTCTGCATCTGCATTTGACACAGTGTCTATAAAGAAATTATTTGTTTTTCTGCTTATTAACGTTATAGGGAAATGAAGATTTGATACCTTAGTACTGGTTATCTTTAGTCTAAAAAACTATTTTATTTAACACTTACCTTTAAATTTCAATTTCAACAAGCAATACTAAATTCATTGGATTAAAATTTCTCGCAAAAAAATTATATTTAGGTTATGTTTCTTGCTGCAAAATCATTTCAAGTTTCTTACCGGGATAGTTTCCGAACACGTTAGAATTATTGAGGGTTTTTCAAAAGTGGCCATAAATCCGAAAATCCTCAGTATAGACCATAACAAACATACATTGGGTTGTGAGTTATATAAAGGAGTACTAATGCAATGAGTACTAATGCAATAGTAGAGTGCTCCATTTAAAAAATAATATTTTGTTTCTCACATATTTATGAATCGCCTTGTGTATTTGAAAATACTGTCAGATTGTTTCTTTTTGTCCTATGTGCAGCTTTGTATTTAACTTTTTTTTTCTAAAGCAAATAATAAACGAGACGTATTATTTTGACAAATTATATGTTATTGCGTCTAAATTTGTTTTTATTCGGCCCCATATTATTTCTATAGGATTCAAATCGCAGTAATAAGATGGTATATCACCGGAATTTTTTATGACCCAGTCTATCAAATAAATTTTATCACGCAATTTGGTTCTTAAAACTCCCAACTATTTACTTTTTGTATAAGCATTTTTAAAGTAAAGGAAATCTTGCAATACGTCTTTTTTGCTAATTTTTCAAAGAAACTTCTACAGGCTACTATTTACTTTTTATAAAACTTTCTTGATTTTAGGACAATGCGTTCAGGCTTTGCAATATTAGTTTTATGGGGTTTTGATTTTTTAAGGATTTTTGCGGTTTCAAATCGAATTTCATTAGCTGTTTGAGATGGTAGTTTGTTTATCATAGACTCGACATTTGAAATAATTTCCTCTTCTGGAACAATACGTGGGGCAAGGACGAAGTTGGAACCTTTTGAAAAATTTATCACAGTGGTTGGTAGTTGAGAAGAGTTTGATGGTTTCCCTAGTGTTGACGATAGTTTTTCAAAAGGTTCCAACTTTGTCCTTGCCTCACGAATTATACCAAAAGAGGAAATCATTTCAAATGTCGAGTCTATCCTAAACAAACTACCATCTCATACAGCTAATGAAATTGGATTTGAAACTTCAAAAATCCTTAAAAAATCAAAACCCGTAAATCTAATATTGTAATGCCCATTGCCCTAAAATCTCTACAATCTAATCCCGACATCGTAATCCTAAAAGCAGATAAAGGAAATGCTACGGTTGTCATGAACACAAATGAATATCAGGAAAAGTTTCAAGATATTCTTACAGACGGATCAAATCGTCAACTTAAAATAGATCCTATCCTGGAACGCAACCTTAAATATATCATTAGGGCTTCTTCTCTATCAGACTCCGTGAAGAAATCTGTCACCCCTCAGAACTCTAAAATTCCTCGTTTCTACGACCTATTGTCAGAACCATTGGTTCTCCAACATATTCTATAGCAAAATATCTAGTTTCCTTATTAAAGCCCTTTACAGGGAAAACTGATAGTTTCGTAGTTAATTCCTTTCACTTCATTAAACAAATAAAAAAACATTACATTAGATACGTAAGATATTCTGGTTAGTTTCAACGTAGAATCCCTCTTTACTAAAGTTACTATTCCTAAAAGTCTCACCATCATTTCAGATATATTAAAATCCGAGAATCTGGAAATAAAACTTCTGACCTGAATTGAAAAATTCTTGTCTGGGAACGTTGGGAACACCTATGGGTCATCGCCAATGTATTTATAGAAGCCTTTGAGAAGAAAGCTCTCGACACCTTCCATCTAAAACCAAAATTATGAAAACGCTACATCGATGATACTTTTGTTATTTAGCCTCATGATCAGGGATCCGTTGTGGATTTTCTTAGACATTTAAACTCTATACACCCTAACATACGTTTTGGCATAAAAATAGAAAATAATAACAACTTTCCATTCTTAGATATTCGTACCAATAGAAAATCAGACCTAACATTGGGTCCTTGTGTTTACAGAAAACATACGCACTCAGACCTTAATGTCACATCACCATCCGGACCAAAAATCATCGGTTATCAACTCTCTTGTTTGCAGAGCCGTAAATCTATCTCAGCCCGAGTCAATGAACTCAGAATACCTTACCTCTGCTCTTGTCTCTAATTTCAACATTAAAGATATTAAGCGTTCCATCACAAAATACACTTTACCACAACCCACCAATACCAATGAAACCGTTAGCAATCCCACACTTGCCACTGTTCACACCACAAATCAAAAGTTCTAAAGAAATATTTACCACTTGTCCAAAAATCTCTCAACAAAATTCGATTTGAGATACCAGGAGTTTACACATTCCATATATATGCGGCATTAGAGAGACCGGACGAGAAATAACTAGACTCAAAGAACATGAAAGAGCATTAAGACTAAAACAAATAAACTCATCAGGAGTTGCCGAACACAATCACGAAACCGGACATAAAATTTTATTTGCTATAACTCAAATTCTTACATGTACTCAATTCTTTTACCAACGGAAAATCCGAGAGTCTATAAAAATTTATAAGCAACCTAACAATTTTAACCACGACTCAGGTCTCTACCTGTCACCAATATGGGAATTTATACTCCTCCATTAGCTCCGCCTCAAACAATTTAATAGCAGGTACAGAGTAAATTGTGAGCCAGTTTCAGACAAGCTGTGAAGAAGCCAACAGGATGATTGGCGAAAGGTTAGCTAGTCTTTTTTGCTTCTGATCATGGTACTTTTTAGCCAAAGTATTGTGATTGCTAGTATTATCATAAAGTATCACGCTGTAATATTTGGAAGAAGGAAACTTAAACGCAAACTCGTTATTGGGCATTATTTCCAAACCTAGAAAGTAATAAGGACCCCTTAAATTTCCTGCTGGCGACAGGTAGGTCATGGTTCACATAGGAATCTTCTGACCTTTTTTTTTCAAGATGCTTTTTTTTTTTGCTTATAGGATGAATGCCTTCTTTACACGTTTCTCATTTGAAATCGAATAAAAAATGTCTCTTGTGACCTCTTGTGCCCTGCAATTAAATTATTTCTTTCTGTTGAAGGAGTTACAAGAATTTCCGAGAATCTGTTTTCTTTTATACGATTCAATAGGCACAACTTCGTCTGAGTCAGAAGCGTTTCGAACATTAATCTCGGGTTCATGTTAAACTTATCTTTACTGTTCGCGAAAACTTGGCCTATATGCATGGTTAGGATTTACACTTTTTTCAACTGGGTAAATCCCTGTGGCTCTGAATCCACGTGTAATATTATCGATGATGATACATCTCCTCCAAATTGGCTTAAAAACTTCAGAAAATCTTTCCTTATTGGCCGGCAACTTCAACTATTGAAACCTCGAGTGACGCAGCGCCGGCACT